AAGCTAAGCCTGGCATTAGCTTCTTAGAAGTCCACTAAAGTTATCCAGATCATCACAACATCTTTAAGAATGCTCAAACTCATAATACAATTTCCATTTTCAAGGTAAGTTTTCTGAACTTTCAACTCTTCATACAAGCATCATTTGTCTTTGATTTATAAAGATAAAATATAGACATCATAGTCCTGAAATTAACCATGTCCTCAGAATTCATTTATATTGCCTGAGCATGAATAATTTTGAGTTCGAACTTTCTGAAAAAATTAGGTCAGATTTGGTACCAGTTAAAATTCATGCTCATCTTTGATTAATAGCTTTAGTTATTTATATGTTTGAACTCGTGATGAAATTTGGAGCAAGTTTCATGTTTATACTTTTGAAAATGATTGAGAAATGAGGAAGTTACAAAATTCAAAAATGGTAATGAAGAGGCTGGCGCGAGGTAGGGATGAAGTCACATTCAGAACCAAGTTTATTTTAAATTTAGCGCAACATGTATTATGACCGGATGAAACAGCCACCCCAGTGGCAGGAGGAGCGTGCGTAAGGCATTACCCTATAGGGTCCTGGGTTCGAGCCCCAGTGGTACCCTTTTGTATTTTTTTTTTCATGTTTTCCTTGCAGATTCAGTGCATCAAGCATATCGTGTGTACCATAGATCCTCATGACTGGGCCATTTGATCATTGGACAAGTAAAGTTAACACTCCACAATACAAGACCATGGTACATCATCACATGCTAGCCACACATGATTCAACTGGTGTTGGGCCCTCCAGTCTTGGGCCTCATCCTTTTTTTGTTTTTGCTTTCATATACACCCATTTTACTTTTCATACTCAGGCCCATACATTTATTTTTTTATTTTATTTTTTGAACTCAACAAAAAAACCACATTTGGGCCTAGCTCCCTTTTTACTACTTTTAACTCTCATCTTTCTTTTTAAACCCTCTAGCTCAATATTTTCATATTCCTTATATTTTCTTATTTTTATTTCTTTATTTATTTTATTTAAACTAAAAATACAAAATATATTTTCTTGAACTAAAAATGCAAAAAATATATTTTCTTAAATAACTAAATTATTAAATATTTTAATTTAAACATTTATTTTTATTCTGAAATACTTAGAACTAGTTTTATTTATTTTATACACTTTAAAATACTTCTTTTTTTTATAAAAAAATTAGTATTAACATTCAATTTATTTTCTAAGCAAATTATTTAGACTTAGGTTTTATTTTCTCCTTAAAACTTCAAATGAACTTAGATTTTAGGTCTTGTTAATAATTAATTAATTTCTTTTTACTAGTCTAATTAGGTTAACTATAAAACCTTTTCACACAAAAAGCCATAACAAAAATTTTATTTTTCTTTTACATTATCTTTATATTCTTGTACATTTTATTTGGCATTCTTCAATATGGTTGTAATAGTAATTAGGTTTTAATTTCTTTCATCCCCATTTGCAATTTATATCCCTATCCTCTAAAATGATGTAATAGTGTAGAACTTTTAATTTCCGCAATTTATCGCTTTCAATATTATTGCTAAAAATTAGGGTTTGTATGGTAAGACTAAAATCAAACAAGTAGACAACCCTAATTCAAGACAATTTAAATGAAAACAACACACTTTGTACACTTGCACCTCTAGGGTTAAGCCACACTTGTTGCTTGAGAATAAAAACAGTCATGTCCCTCGAACGTGGGATACTTTAACAAAGACCCTTGATTACAAGATCGTAGTTCCTCGATGACCCTTCAATGTTGCCTTCGGTAAACGATCTTATACCCTTACAACAAGTTGCTAAGGTATACTACAATGTTGCTTTCTATGACTGTACGATGGATCCACGTATGTCCCTTCACATCCAATGATAAAGCCTCCTACTAACTAATGGTAGAAAAACACTATCTAAAGGAGGAGGAAGAGAACAAAGACTTTTTAAGTAGGTAGAATTCTCGTAGTTGCTTGCTCACAAATATTTCAAAAAAAACATCTTTCAAACACACTACCACTTTCTTGAAATATTTTCAAAAGTCAACACTTTGTATACATTCTTATAGAGACGAGAATTATTACAAAGTTCGCCTAAACAAAGGCACTTTTCAAAAATACTTTCAAAATAAACACAAACACATTTCACAATGCATTTCAAAGTGATCAAGCAACTAAGAGCCCGTAGATAACTACGGATGAAAAGGGTGCTAACACCTTCCCTTTTCATAACCTACCCCCCGAACTTAAGAAAATATCTCAAAAGGTCTTTCCTATTCTTTTCAACCTTTCCTTTATTGGATAAAAGAAAAGTCAATGGCGACTCTTGCTATCCGCAATAATTGCGATAAAATGCAAAACACCCAAGTCAGTTCTCCCACTGTATTACACTTTGGTTGTTGATACGCGACAGTTGGATTATTGCTTTGCTTGTATAGAATTATCTTGTGCATGGACTTTGATTCGACGCGAAAGACTTTCCGCATGTGGTTTATTTTCTCATTTGCGATATTGCTTACTATTATTGCATCTAATTCTGAGTGTTTCTCTGTTGCTTGGTGAAGCTTACACGAAGTTTTTGGGTTTCTTTGCTTTCGTCTGATAATTGACAAACTTGAGTTCGATTGGTATTCCATTCCATTTCTTTCATCTCTTGCATTATTTACCGCTTTTCTGATGCCATGAAAAGTAGGAATAGAGATGCATAATTTACTTTTTTCCTTGCCATGAGAAGTAGGATTAGAGATGCATGTTCTGGGAGTCCCTTTGAGGAAAATATGGTTTATTTAAAGACCTTATTTAAGGTAGTTTCTACTTGTGCTTGTTTACCATTCTGTGTGTTTACTTTTGTGTCAAAGACCCCGATGAAGGCATATCATTCCCATTCCCCTTTGATAAGTCCTCAGAGAAGGCAAGTGGAGGAGGGTCTGCAATCGACCCCCATAATTTCTAGTCTAAAGGTCATTTGTAGCTCGTGTCATACGTCGATGTTACAGATCATGCTATTCTTGTATCGAGTCAGTCAAGTGGAGAAGGGTTCGCAATCAACCCCCACGCTTTGTCATTAGCTCGCGTGCCATGCATGTTGACACTCTGATGTGATCTCATTATTGTCTTATATATCCTACCTCGATAACGTGATATCTTGGTTAGGTGTTTAGTCACTTATGATGATTCAACTCTCGTTTATCTCTTGCCTAAATAACGTGATATCTTGGTTAAGATTCAAAGCCCCTTTTTCTTCTTGCCATGATGACGTGTTATCATGGTTAAGAACTACCTATTCCCCTACTCTTTCTTGCCTCGATGATTCGATATCTTGGTTAAGCCTCCCTTTATCCTACATTGATTACCCGATATCTTGGTTAGGTACCCTTTCCCTTGTCCTACCTCGATGATGCGATATTGTGGTTAGGCGTGACGCCTCTCTCTTTCCTTCCTTGGTTACATGATACCTCGGTTAAGCATGTGCTACTTGAGTGAGTGTATATTCCTCAAGCTTTGTGTGTTTACCTTTCCATTGCACCTTTTCCATACTCCCCATAGGATTTCTCGATTCGATCTTAGGAAGCGAATTGAGATAGACCTTAGGTTTCAAACCATGCATGCCAACATAGGTAGATTTCCCCTTTATCCTCGACCATAGGGTCAACTTTACATGACAACTCTAGGCGTACTTTGCTAGTTTTCGTTAGGCCTTTCTTTTTCTCTTTTAAACTTGCATTAAAACTAAAACTCTTTTTTTTTCAAATTAAAAACACTCTAATAATACAAAAACCCATTTTCAAGGTAAAAAACACCAACCAATTCAAACTTCATTTTGCCGCTTGGGTTTTCTTTTAAAACGCCTTTTCAAGGTAAAAACATACAACAAACCAAAACATGTGAGCCGAACTACGACGCTATGACTTTCCCATTTCACGAGAGAGTACGTAGGTACTAGGTTGCGGGGCCTAGGCGAGCAAAACTTTGTAAATATTCCTTCTTTTCCCTGTATTTTCTTTCGCATGCATTCCCTCTTATCATTAAGCTTTAGACAGATTTTTATACACCCTTAGATTAGAGAAAACTTAAGTGAATCATGTGCAGTACCACAGACGCGTGGGGTGATAATACCTTCCCTCACGTAACCGACTTCCGTACCCTTTCTCTTGGTCGCAAGACCATCTTATCCATTTCTTTGGGGTTCTCTCGATATCTTCCCTTCCTTCAAGATAAATAGAGTTCGGTGGCGACTTTGTGTTTTTTCACGGCGCGACAAGATGGTATGTTGACAAAAAAAGTAAGGTGAGTTGTATTGGAAAATGCTCTTGAGATTCTAAAATTGACTTCTCCAAAAATTCAGAAAGATATTATTCATGTTTCCTCTTTGGAAACTATGAAAGCAATTATTAATGACCTTGAGATGAATTGTTTTCTATTCTTGTTGATGAGTCCAAGGATATATCCAATAAGGAGCAAATGGTTGTTGTTTTTTGCTACGTTAACAAATATGAAATTATTGTTGAAAGGTTTTTAGGTATTTCTCATGTTAAAACTACAACATCTTTATCACTGAAAATGGCCATAGCTGATCTATTGTGCAAACATGGACTTACTACTTCAAGAATTTGGGACAAGGTTATGATGGTGCTAGCAACATGCAAGGAGAGTTTTCTGGTCTTAAAATTTTGATATTAAAGGAAAGTCTGTGTGCATTTTATGTACATTGTTTTGCTCATCAATTACAACTTACTTTAGTTGCTATTGCTAAAGATCACCTTCAAGTGTGCTCACTTTTTAGCTTAATATCCTCTATAATAAATGTTGTTTGTAGATCTTGTAAACTCAATGACATGCTTCTTGAAAGATAGATGATCAAAGTTTGGGATGCATTGGAAAATTGCATTGGAAAATGGAGAAATTTTTAGTGGAAAAGTTTAGAATCAAGAAACTAGTCTCAAGCGACCTGCTGATACTTGTTGGAGCTCTCACTTTACAACTTTGGTGAATCTGATATTGATGTATAGTTCTATAACTGATGTTCTTAAAATGTTGAAAGAAGATGTATCCGCTAAAGATGCAAGAGGGGAAGCAAATGTTCTTGTGATTCTAATGAATATTTTTGATTTTTCACTCACATTGCATTTGATGAAAAATATTTTAGGTATTTCAAATGAATTATCACAAGCATTGCAAACGAAAAATCAAGACATCGTCAATGCCATGAGCTTGGTTAACATCACAAAGAAACGATTACAAACGTTAAGAGATGATGGATGAGAACCTTTATTGGTGGAGGTAAGTTTATTTTGCACTAAGCATAATATTCACATTCCAAACATGGATGATATATTCTTTCGTGGAAAATCAAAGCATGGAGGTAATGCTCAATCTATCACAATAGGAAATCATTAACACATTGAATTATTTTATACTACTATGGACACATAACTTTAAGAACTTAACAATTATTTTAATGAGACAAATAGCCGATTGATCATTTGTATGGCTTGTTTGTGTCCACGCAACTTGTTCTCTTCTTTTGACAAGACAAAGTTGATTGAATTTGCAAAGTTTTATCCAAGTGAAGTTTGTTTAACTAGTTTGGTTATGCTTGATAATCAACTTGAAATTTACATCACTGATATGCGTGGGAGTGTTGAATTTGAATCTTTGAAAGGAATAAGTGATCTTTCAAAAAAAATTGGTTGAAAGTAAAAGACACATTGTTTATCCATTAGTGTATAAGCTTTTGAAGTTAGCAATGATTTTTCCTGTTGCCACAGCAACTGTTGAAGGATCCTTTTCTGCAATGAATATTTGGAAGACTAGATTGCGGATTTGAATAGGTGATGAATTGATGAATGAGTGTCTTATTACTTTTATTGAGAAAGACGTGTTTATAAAACTTGATAATGAGTTGATTATTCAACGGTTTCATAACATGAGACCGCGTAGAGGACAATTGTAAAATGTAGATGATAATTGTTGCGTATGTGTAATTTCTTAGTACAATATAATTTTTTTGGTATATATTATTATAATTATTAATTAATGTTCAAAAGTTTTCAACACTGGGCCAGGTTCCTGGCTCTACCATTGTATATTGATGATGTTGAATTCTAGACTATAATTGCTAAAGTTTACTTTCCTCTTATGCCTTTTAAAATTAATTATGATTGCTCACCCATTATGTTTGAATGTTGTCTCCACGTGAGTAACATGCAGACTTTCCAGAGTAGCGTTGCTGAAGAAAGTGGAAGGATAGCTCTTGAAGTGACTTTCATTTAGTGTCATTTAATTATAGTAAGGTCTTGCTCTGATCATGTAACATCGGGATTGGGAATCATTTCTGTGTTGTTTTACATTTGTTGATTATTTGTTAAACCTATATGTTATGTTGTTGAGAGTAGAATATCACGACTCTCTCTTATTTATGTTGATTGAAGTTGAAAAAGGTTTTATGAGACCAATGATGTGTTTTGGTTATATATTTTCAAATGTATTCCGCTGCGATGTTGTTCAGTTGTGTTTGGATGTCGAGTAACATCCTAGGTAAGTTATCAGATGTGTTTGATGTCGTGTAACATCCCAGGTAAGAAAATGTATGATTAAATATTCTATTTCGGTAACCCGTGTTACGGATAAATATTGAATTTATGATGTTTTTATGAGGTGTGACACCCTTGTATGGTGATTTTGAATAAATTTTTAAATTAATTCATGGAGTTTAGAAGGGTGTTACATCATGCATGACAAATTTTCAAACCAGAGGATTCTTAAGTGAGATATATGTAAAAAGGTTTTTCACTTAAGTGCTATTTAAAAATCCTTTATTCCTTTTCTGAGTCTTCAAAGCCTTATGCTTTTAAGAAGCCACAAGTCAACAAAGATTTTTCAAGGTTCTGATGAAGCTACTTCTGATTAGCATTAGTCTTTGATACTATTTGTTTAGACGCAAGTTATTAAGTGACCAGAATCACCCCGTTTTTGAAGGTTCAAGCCCTTTTAAAATTTTGAGGGTATCAACAAATCAATGGATTGGTTGATTGCCCTTTTCTAATCAATTATTTAACTAATAAAGGCTTGGTTTTGAACAATGATCATGAATAATGATATACTTAGATAGCTTTAATATTTATACAAAAAAGTATAAATATTCTTTCTACAGTTTTGAAAATCCTTAAATAAATAAGTTGTCAAAATGTTGATGTACATATAAAAGATGTACATATACCACTTTTTAATAACTTATCATGCACAAAAGTTATTTAATGAATGAAGAAAATTGACATACCTTTGTGCAGATTCTGAACATCCCTTTTTTCTTCTTTCTTTCAGAAGGTTTGTTAGAGGTATTGAGGTTTTTGCAAATTCTCTTAGTAGACTCTGGCTAGATATGCCCTGGCTAGATACAGGTATCGAATCTACAATCAGTCACTCACAGATATGCCCTGGCTGGATACAGGAATCGAATCCGGAATTGGTCGTCTACAGATATGCCCTGGCTGGATACAGGTATCGAATCTCTAAACTCTTCATGCAGACATGCCCTGGCTGGATACAAGAATCGAATCTACAATCAGTCACTCACAGATATGCCCTGGCTAGATACAGGAATCGAATATGGAATTGCGACAGTTGATAGTAATTATCTTTGTATTGACCTTTTTCCTGAAAAGGAAAAACATCAGTAGTATGCAATGTCATGATGTATGAGATGCATGATGTCATGATGTTCTTAAGAATAAGATGAGATTGTGTGATATAATGCGTATATGCATGTATCAGGATGTATAAAATGTGAAATGTTTATGGATGTATTTTCGTCTAGGAAAATAAATCCTTGACGGATGCCGGGAAATCAAATCCTGGGCTGAGGTTGAAGAGTAGAGTTCTTCGTTTCCGCTGGGGATGATGGTTGCAAGAATAAACCGGTAGGAGAAGATGACTCCGTTGGGGAATAAACTTGTTGAAGAGATTACTCTTCGGGGAATTACTCTGTGGGAAAGAGATACTTCGCTGAGACTTTGATGATAACTCTGCTAGGGATACCATTGATAAGTTATGTTGGGGAATTTATGAACTCCGCTGGGGGTAGGAAGAACTTCGCCGAGGAGGATCCTTCCGTTGTAATTAGCTGAGGATAACCCAGTTATAAGCTCTGGTGGGGAATAACCTTTGCATGGTCGGGGAGAGATATGTACTCTGCAGGAGATAAGCTTCCAGAATCTACTAGAGATAAGCTTCCAGAATATACTGGGGAGATTGATCCAACTCTCCTGGGGAAACTCTTGGACTGCACTGGGGTGTCTGATATTCCGCCGGGGAACAATCTTATATTGAGACTGCCGGGGATGCTTGCTTAGGAACATTTTTACACTCCGTCGGGGAATATTGAGATCTTCTGGGGATACCCAACTTCCTTAAGGCTGACAGTAGACTAACTCTACTTGGGGAGAGTATCGCTGACTTGCTGGAGATACTGGGCCTTTTTAGGGCTGACGGGAGACCAACTCTGCTTGGGGAGAGTATTGCTGAAACCTGTCTTACTCTGCGGGGAGTGGAGGTAACTTGGTTATGTTCTTCAGCTGAACTTACCTTGCACCTGGAGGACAGAGCAGCTTGATCGTCTAGACAATTCTTATTGCCCCAGTTTCTACGGGAGGAGGTACCTGTGGAGGTGCTTGATGACTGCCGATTTGACAAATCTTCTTTTGGTAGGCAAGTGACGAGATGACGGGACATAGTCGTATGCTTTTGATCCCTAACTTTTGCCTGGACCGCCCTTTCGGGTTTTCAGTCCACCGGGATACCCATTTTTACCCAAGCCGCCTTTTCAGGTTTTCGACTTGCCGGGTGTACATATTTTTTCATTTCATCCCTTATTTTTTTCCGAACCCTTTTGGTTCGCCGAGAAGCCCTTATTTTTGCCTAGGTGTGTCAACCTAGCGGGTCTTTGATTATGCGCAGTATTTTCGACTATGTCCGTGCTCTCAGGATGTAGGGAGGTGCCCCTGTCAGTAGTGTTGCGTTGCCCTACTACCAGAAGATCTTCGTTTGATCGTCCAATATTCATTGCTGGAATTTATATCCAATGCCCCGAGTGGCTCAGGCGGAGATTTGCCCCTGGCTATTTGGCATCTTGAGAGATTCCTTGAATCTTGACTTGACTGCCCCAGATGATAGACCATGATCATGCCGTGCCCCTTGGTTGGAAGTGCTTTTGTTCACTAGATATTCTTCGTGCGAATTTCTATGTTGTTCGAACAAATAGTCATATGCGAGCAATGTTATATCAAAAATGCAAAGCTTATGTCTGTCTTGGAGTTTTTGAAAATGCAGTTTTTCATAAAAAACAAGTGAATTTTTTGTAAACTGTGATGTCAACTCGTTATTTTACCGCAAGCCTTAAGGAGTCAGGATACCTTTTGTAACAGTATGCTTTCGAACTAACCCATGCTTCAGCTAGGACTTTTGAGGGTTATAACGTGGCCTGGTTCATGGTTTAAGAAACAAAGGATAAAGGCTCAAATTTTATTTGTACCCACCCGCTCTTCGTGATGTTCTTCAATCCTAAACTCAGTTGATCGTGCGTTAGACTTTGTTGAGTCTTTGCTTTGATATACCAGTGATGGTTTGGATATTGACAGTTTATTTTGAATAGGCAGTCATTTCTTTTTGTTGAGGGTTTGTAGGACCTCTTTTTGATTTTGTTATCCCTGTCGTTTTGCCTAAACTGTTTCTTTTGTGATTACAGTCAGCGGGATGCCACAGTTTTGTAAGTCTCCTTCATAGGTTTTGACTTATTGGGCTTTTGTTTTTTTGGAAGATAACGACTGCCTATCTTGACAATTATAGGTAACCATCACTGTATTTTGTTTTGGAAGGACTCCTTTGGTGCTATTCGTAGTGCACTTGGATTAACTGAGAGAACTACCCTGCCCCAGGTTATGATTAAGGGTTTTAATTTTTGAAAATAAAAACTCCGACTTCTTTGGCTCAAAGGGGTTGATGAGGGATTATCTTCCTTATAACTCCAGTGTTTAGGAATTGAAACAATGCATGTACCTCATCAGCGGGGTCTGTTCAAAAGCATATTGTAGATTGTGATATCGTTTTCGTCATCCTCCCTCAAGAGGCTTAGAATTTGCAATTGAGAATTGAACATCACAGAAACATGAAATCAATTTTGAATATAATGAATACGAATAGATTAATTCAAACAGACATATGTGATTCATTAATGAAATAAAAGAGTTTGCTATGACATTAGTTGT